CAAACTCACTGTATCTCCTCTTATGCTAACTTTCCACTGATAGTCCTGACCCTGGGATTTCCAGGGGGCTCTCGCTTCCCTTCCAGGTGCAACAGTGGAAGAAGCTGTGTGAGCTGTGTGGAAGGCCTGCAGAGGCATCGCCTCACTTCTTAATATGAAAGGAGCTGAAGCCCCTGGCAAATATTTCAAACAACTGAGATACAAGCAAACACACACACACACACACACACACACACACACACACACACACACACACACGCAAAAGGAGATCTCCATAAGTAAAGGAAATTTGCAGGTAAATTCTTCAGAAATGTGAATATATTACCACTCCCTCCACCCCTGGTCCCTGTACTCCTGTTTTAATCATACTGGTTTTTCTCAGTCAAGGCAAACCTATCCAAGACCCCTGCTGGAGGTCTCTAATAAGACAGGCATGTCAGAAAAGCTTCCCAGATGAGATCAGGATCCCTGCCTTGAAAGGTGCGCTATAAAGACCAGCAGGGAGGGGACAAGGGCACAGGCCCCTGAAGCCCACCACATGTATTCCTCAGGTTCCTTCTTGGTTTCTTTTTATCACTAAATCAGAAAGGAAAATGATGTTCAGATGCCTTCTGCTTTCTTCTGAATGAGTCAATAAATATAAAATCGGATCTTCATAATGCTAAAGCCAATTTCTGCTCTTCCTCTCCAGTTTTCACTGACCTCAACTGTCCTGCTTCTTCCAGAGGGCAGCACTTGAGCCCCTGAGCCCCGGCCCACCCACAGTGAGTGGGGTCCAATGGGGTTTTGCCAAACAACCTGGCAATGGTTTAAAGGTGGTAGAGTTGTGCAGAAGGCTGATATCCATGACTTCTGACAGTCAGCCAGAGCAAAAGTCTTCACTTGGCTACACACTAGCTGTGTGACCTTGGGCGAGTTACTCAACCTCGCTGAGTCTTGATTTCCTTATCTGAAAAAGAAGAATTAAAGCACTACCACACTGATTCTTCTTTTTCAGATAAGGAAACAAAAGTTTTACAAAACAATTATTAACCCTTCTACATATAGTTTACTCTGATATTTCCTATTTTATTTTATTCTTTAAAAAAAATATCAGTTAGGACCCACAAAACTGATATTATAACCCAATAATGGGTTGTGAGCCACAGTCTAGAAAGGGTAACTAGGAGGATTAAATGAGATAATGCACGTAGAGGGTTTGGTGTGGTGTCTGCTAGTAAGCGTACAATAATTGTGAGCCATGGTTGCTACTGTTATTTTTCTATATTGTTATTACTATTGCCACTCCAAGAAATCCCAGAAACCAGGTGGAAATCACTGTTCTTATACCTGGAAATAAACTTGTTATCTAAAATCCTCACTCATCCCAACTCAAGTCATTGGGGACTGAAAAGTCTGATAATGCTGATTTGCAAAAATTTTGCTTTTTCACAGCTAGAAAGGAAAGGACTGGAAGGACCCAATTCACACACCCATGCAGTGGGACTAGGATCCCAACCACAGCTGTCTGGCTTCAAAATCTCTAGGAGTTTTTGGGAGAAGCACTTCAGAAGTGACAGGTAACACGCTGAGAGTTTTCTGCAAGGTTCTCCATGGTTCTTTCATAATATGGAGTGAGGACTGATACAAATATATCATCCTATTACAAATGTCAAGTCCAGCTCACCTGGGCAGTGAGCAAAGTTCAAGAAACTCTGACACTTACAATGGTCAACTACAGAGATAAGAAGCATTGGTTGATTTTATCATTTTAAACTTCATTGCTTTGCATTCCCAGAACTCAAACACACCATGCCATCACAAGGGAAGCAGCCTTTTGAAATTTGCTTAATGTACTGAGTTACATAAAAAAAGTACAAAGTACTTTGAGCTACAAAGAGTGAATGTTGCACAATGCATTCTCCTATTGCTCTACAATTTTTACAATAAATAATGGCCTGAATTTTTGTGCCATGCTTAGATTTGCTATTTTTTTATTATTAGTTGGTCTATTAAACATTTATGTGCATTATCATTTTACATTAATATTTATCAGAGTCCCACTAATTCAAAGAGATACAGTTTTGTGATATTGCCAGGTAGACAGGTTAATGCATAGGGCCCTTAACTACTGGGTTTCCTAATTTAAGACAGAATAAATCAGCAACATTAGCATCATTTCATAGTAAGGATTATTGCTTAAATGTGAATGGCCAGAGAACTCTTCTAGAAAAATAAGAATGTTCTGCCATTTACTATTTCTGTAAACCCATCACAATCTGTAAGCAGGAATAAAATAACAAATGAATTTGGGAGCACAGATTCATTTAACAGGATATTATTTTTAAAATATTTTAAAAGACTCTACTCACTCAAATTATCCAAGAGAGCAGGATTAGGCTTACATCAGCCTTAGGCTAAGTTTGACAAACTATAGGAGAGACATATTCTTGGTTGGCAAATTACAGGAAAGCAAACACTCTTCAGCCAGAGATGACAGCATCTTTTATTCTTATTTCCTTGGCTCAAGATCTTAAACTAAAATTAATACCAAAATAGTTTACTCCTCAGAGGGGATAAATCAAAAAAATAATTTAACTCTGTAAAAGAAAGTTTCCCAGAAAATAATGGATGAATTACCAGATTCCTGTGAAAGAACTTTTGCTTTATGGGCTAATTTCTATTCCATTCTTTAGTAACGTACATTCTTATCACTGAGCACTAATTGCATTATCTACCAAAAGCTTATTGTCTCCATTCTTGTGTCCACTCTGCTAGGCAGTTCAGGAACTAAAACTATGAGCAACAAGCCTTGCTGGGAAGCCACTGAGGCCTTAGCCTCAGACCCCTCACTTGTACTGGATCTTTCAAAGCCCCTGATTTCACCTTTGTTACTTTCTTTTTCTTAAAGAGGCCCCCAAATTGTATACACTTCAGGTCCCACCAAATCTGAATTTGCTCTTGAGAAGAATAATCGTGTTCCTTCTCTCAAGAAGCCAATTGCCTGAGCACATCAGGACCTCTTCTTCCTCTCCTGCACCCCCATCTCTGACTTCCATGATCCCCACACCCTCCTCACTCAGCACTTCTCCAGACCTGTGAGCATAAGGTTCACCTGGGACAATGCCACCAACCAGAGTCGCTGGCCTGATCACAATGCTGATGTAGGTTTCAGGTAAGGCCTGCTAATCTCCATTTTCGAAAAAAGGCCCTCTAGTAATAGAGCATGGCATGGTGTGTCTGGCTTCCCTACCTATCCATGTGTTTTCTAGAAAGTTGCCAGAATAATATGTGCCTCACCAAAGGTATTCAGTAGATATTTGCTGGATGAGTGCTAATCATAAGTACTTCCTTTGTTCAGCATCACTGCCAGCTCTGCCAGATACACAGTATGAAATCCAAACTCCTTGGTGTGGTGGCCTCCAGTCAGATCTGGGTCCAGCCTCCTCCTGCCACCTCTCCTCTACCCCATGCTACTGTCATTCTGAAATACTTCCAGGCACCCCTTTATTCATGGCCTTTCACATTCTAGGCCTTCCAACTGGCTGCCTCCTTTACCCACAAAGACCTTCCACTGACACAGTTCACACAACTATGCAGAGGCACAGCATTGCTGCTGGGGAGCTTGGCCTAACCCCTCCCCAATGCCATGCCTCCCTTCTCCAGGCAGATTCAGGTAGTTCTACTTCTAGCATCCCTGGCACCTTCTAAGTATGTACAGCAAGGCACTTCTCACACTGGGCTGCCATGGTCTCCTGTATCTTTTCATCTCTGTATCCAAGGCTTCTAGACACTGTGCCTAGCTTATAATAGATGATTGATTTTTTAAAATTAGTAAATGTAAAGAGGAATTAAAGAGACCAGATAACAAATTAACAAGATAACATCAACAAGTAGACAACTTGTGCATACATTGCTATTTTTCAACTTATCAAATAATATAAAGTACTTACACATACAATGTAGGCTTGATGCAAAGGTTTCTGCTAAAGGATGTTTGCCAACAAACAAGGTCACATTGAGAGGGTATTTAAGAACTTCTCCTCTCAGAGTCAACTACTTGGGATCTCTCACCCCAACTTGAAATTGTCACCTCAATTCCACAGAGACTGGAGTTGTACATCTTGGGTTCCAATGCCAAAACCACCACTTATACGCTGGGCAAAGTGTATAACACCTCTAAACCTCAGTTTCTGTATTAAAAGGGGAAAATAATACAGACTTCACAGGGTTCTCATGAAGACCAAATAAGTTTCTTTGAAGTGATTAAGTAGTCCAATGTAAGCATTGGTTCAATGCATTCAGTAAACACCCAATAAGTGGTATTTGTGGTTGTCACTTCCACTGCTCAGAAAGCTTAGCCCACCTGTCAGGCTTAATACGACTACTGATGCTTCTTTTACCAAGCAATACCCAGCTATATGCATTTCATGTACAGATCACAGGGTTACTGTTGGGCTCTGACATGGTTATACCTTTAAGAACATAATAGTATGTCCTTGAAGAGGGTAGAACATTTTGGTATCAGTCACATTGGACAGCACACTGGTCCCCTGGAAGAGGACTGAGGTCACAGCATGGAATGTCTCTAGGGGCAGCTTTCCTATATCCTCTTGGCCTCCACTCTGGGGTCTGGGGCTTCTAGGAGTCTCAAATCTTTGAGAGCAACTCCTAGGGGATACCAGAAGTGGGGAATGACACCTCTTTATCTTCATTTCCCTTAGTTATCCCTGAGCTATGATACATATTCCAATCTCAAAGTAGCTACAATTTGGATTCTTGATTGCTTGCATTGAGGCCCAAGCATTAAAGGGTGAGCAGCGCCCCCAAATACCAGTGAAGTGATGGTGGCAGCAATAAGTGAACAACTCCACAAGTTAAGGTGAATCTTGGGGAAGGAGTTTCCCTCCCCACTAAACCTTGGCAGAAATGAGTTGGTGCTGGCTAGAGGAGAGAACAGTTCCCTCAGCACCGTGCACAGCACATCTGGGCATGGGAAACAAAAGCAGAGGACTGCTTACCTCCTCAAAAGGATTGCAGCCTGTCACCACAATATTTGGCCTGAAATTCTCCATTTTCACTTTCTTCTCCATCCTGGTATTCAAATCTGTCAGTGAGGCATCCGAGAGGATCATGAGTGGGCAGCAGTCCGGGTAGGCCACCTTGCCAAGAACACAGGACAATTAGGCCTCACTGCTCCATGAAATTTTTGCTTAAACCAACTTACAAAGCAAAGCAGTTCAAAAGCAAAAGCAGCTTAGTATCGAAGAAGGGAGTAGTGTCTGAGAGAAAGAGAGAGGTGACTTCAGACTTGGAAACAGCCAGGTCAGGAGCAGAGTTCCTCTCACACAGGGACAGGGAGCAGCCAGGGGTGGTCTATATCATCTACCAGGCCTTTCCTTCCTTGTACCTCACTCCTACACTAGCAGTGACTCCCTTCCCCCATCATCTTCAAACAGGGAAGGGTCTGCTGCCAATCAGCTTTACTCTAGTAATAACTTCTTCAACAACACCCACTCACTCAACAAGTATTTACCGAGCACATACAAGCAACTAGTCACTGTTCTAGGTGAGGAAACAGCAGTGAACAAAGTGAATTAAAAACCCTTGCCTTGAGAAGCTTGTAGTCCAGGAACCATGGAGAGACACTCCCTGATGTCCTTGCATATTAAAACCTAGCTCATAGCAGAATCAAAAGCTTTGGTCTTTGGGCTGTAGCTGGCACAGAGGACAATTTTTCTTAGGAGGAGCTTTCTTCTCAGCACCTGAAATAACTATGCTTCACAGACTGTGAAGGCAAGATCTGGACAAAGTCTGCTTCTATAATATCAGGAAACTTGGATTTAGCTTTAAAAAAAAGTCTCAAACCAGGCTCGGTGGCTCAGCCTGTAATTCCGTGCCTTTGGCAGGCTGAGGTGAGTGGATTGCCTGAGCCCGCGGGTTCGAGACCCGCCTGGGCAGCGAGACCTCATCTCTACAATAAATCAAAAAATCAGCCGGGCGTGGTAGCGCATCCCTGTAATTCCGGCTACTTGGAAAGCTGAGGCGGAAGGATCTCCGG